AAAAAAAAAAAAAAAAGAAAGAAAGAAAAGTAAAAATAGGGCACTGAAGCTCTTAGTTATGGGAGTCAACTTCCTACTTCTCCCAAGCCAATAAGAGATCATGACAAGGCTGGGCGCAATGGCTCATGCCTGTAATCCCAGCACTTTGGGAGGCTGAGATGGACAGGTCACCTGAGGTCAGGAGTTTGAGACTAGCCTGGCCAACATGGTGAAACCCTGTCTCTACTCAAAATGCAAAAATTAGCTGGGCGTGGTGGTGCGTGCCTGTAATCCCAGCTACTCAGGAGGCTGAGGTAGGAGAATCGCTTGAACCCGGAAGGTGGAGGTTGCAGTGGGCTGAGATCGCACCATTGCACTCTAGCGTGTGAAACAGAGCAGGACTCCATCTCTGAGAGATCATGAGGAAAGGAAAGCAATCAGGAGAGACAGGAGAGGTGGACACTAATGGCGATGTCCCTAAGTAGCCAGGATAGGGCAGTGTTGTCTACAAGACATGGACAGGAGAAGTGGAAGAAGCTGACACCCCACAATCTTCCAGGATGCCCCTGTGATTCGCTGGCTGACCAAGACTAACTGTCAGTCTCCCGCAAGGTCCCAGGCACAAGACCCTGAACACATCTGTTTCCCCGTCTGTAACCAAACAGAATGGTGTTCCACTTCCCTCAGCAGAGGCTGTGAGACAGAGAATTAAGAATGCTCAGTAGCATACATTCCCTAGAAAGGTAAAGAGGAAATGGAGTAGTTTCTCAGACTGGGCCTGGTAGCAAAATGTTCAATGTAAAATATAGTTTCAAAGTAAGTATAGAACATGCTACATTCTAGGCCCTTCCCCAGGGTTCACCAGCTACAGTTCCCAATCAAAGGCTCTGACAAGTCCTGCTGCAAAGTGATCTGTTTCATTTTAACTCAGCTGAGCTTGATCTCAGACTTTCCTGGATCCTATCTGTTCTCCTGGGCCTGGCCCCATCCTTCCTTCCTCCCCCATCTGAACCCCAGCAGCTGCTGCTCAGCCTCTCTCTCTCAGCACTTCTTTCATTCCCACCCTGGGATTCCTGAACTCAGCCAGCATCTAAAGAGCTTCCTCATCAGACAGATCATTTGACCACAAAGCCCTGCGCCAGTGTATCCGATTCGATCCTCCCTATGTTGCTGCACAAGAGAAGATGAATTCACAAGCCTTTGCTGCAGTCTCAGGCCTCCGCTTCATGCATCTTCCTGTAAGGGCCTTGGGGGTCTAAGCACAGCTCCTTCCATCCTTCTCATTCACACTCATCCTATTTTAATCTCACAGGTCTCTTGCCCCATCCATCCTCACCGGTCCCAAATGATCACTCCACACATTGCTGGGAGTGTAAATTGGCACCACCCTAAGGAGCATGATGTGGCTGTTTCTATCAAAATTAAAGAAGCATATGCTGGCCGGGCGCAGTGGCTCATACCTGTAATCTCAGCCGTTTGGGAGGCCAAGGCAGGCGGATCACCTGAGGTGAGGAGCTTGAGACCAGCCAG